TTATCCATGCCTTCCAAAGTAGGAGAGTGAGGATTCCTTGCTTCACTAAGAGTTTATTTAATGGATATTATAAAAATATATCATGGATTTGATAAATAGGTATTTTATAACATGAATTATGCGTGATTGGGTGCTCCTTGCTGGTGGGCAATTTGGATGTAGGACTGATGAGGTTATTCGGTCGAGTTGTAAGGAAACAGTATTAGAGTGTCTGGGTTATTTTACTTGGGGTGGGCACTCTCATGCTTAAGTTAATGCAAAGTATTTGGGTAGCTAAAAAGCAAGAGAGCTAGTATGCTTGAGAGCTAAATTGCACATATATTTACTGATCATTGGGATGCCTTTATATAGGCGTAGGTTGTTGTGGGCTTCACGCTGCATGCCTGAGATCTCTGGGGGGAAGTGGCTTATCGGCCCACCTCTCTCAAAGGCAATTTCCATGTAAAGCGATAGAGTTCATCCAGTTGCCTCCAAAGCGGGTCGGGGTGGGAACAAACTCCGTGATGTGGCAATGTGATCTTGGAGGATCCGGAGATGATAGCCCAGTCATGATGTGGGTTGGCCACAATGTCCTACAAGTCACCAATTGCGCTTCAACTAGGTCGGCAAAGAGAGGTTGCCCCTTGTGCCGACGTCCCTAGTCAATCCTACGATGGCTGACCTGGTCTAGAGATAGTTGACTTGGTCCTGTGATGGGCGACCTGGTTTTTAGGGGTGTCAACGGTATTCAAAAATCCAATTTCGAATTCGAGATTCAACATAATCAAATCGAATTCGGATAATTCGAATATCTAACCGATCAAATTCGGATATCCTATTCTTAGCAAATAGCTAATTGGATTCGAATTTGGATATGGCCTGATTCGATTCGATAAATATTCGAATTCAATCGATTATTTAATTCTTATATATAATATATACAATTTTTAAATGTTTTATATAATTTATATATATAATAATTAAATTATATAAGTAATTTATACATTTATATACTTTATATAAATAAGATATTTATTAGTTACCTAAAATAATTAATTAATCAAATTCGAATTGAATCAAATATTTGAATATTTAATTGGATTTGAATTTGAATATTAATTTTTGATATCTGTCGGATATTGAATTGAATTCGGATATCAAATTTTTTTATCGGATTCGAATTTGGATATTGACTAATCCAATTTGAATTTGATATGTTTACACCCCTACTAGTTTTGCAATGGGTGACCTGGTCTTGTAATGGCTGACCTAGTCTTGTGATTGGCGACTTGGTCCTTTGATAGACAACATGGTCCTGTGATGGCCAACCTGGTCATGCGATGGGCAAGTTGGTTTGAGATTGGCGACCTGGTCATGGGCCGAGGTGCCTACAGACCTGCCTTGCATACATGATGCTAAGGTGTTAAGCAACGGTTCAAGGTCGCCACGTGGTGCAATGTCACTAGAGGGCCAAATCGCCCCTCATCACCTTCTAAAGTAGGAGAGTGAGGATTCTTTGCTCCACTAAGAGTTTATTTAAGGGATATTATAGAAACACATTATGGATTTGATAAACAGGTATTTTGTAACATGAATTATTTTTATTATTGTCAATTTCAAAAATAAATCAAAAGAATGTAGTTTTAAAAATAAATTGTTTTTTAAAAAATACACAATAAATATTTTCTTGGTTGTGTCATGTGTTTTTTGTTTTCATAACTGAAATAAAAAAAGGCAACTTTCTTAAACTACCCCATGTTTAGCTAATCGACTAACTCTACCCTTACTGTTTACATATTGTCTTAGAGTACTCGTAAGTTTTTTGATAATTGTCTAAAATCTCTATTGTCGTTAACTTTCCATCACACTCCAGCACATATGACATCACGTAACCGATACTTTTTTTCAAAAATTCCAAAAATACCCTTTATATGCAATTGTTCTTTTCTCTTCTCTCTCACTTTCTCTTCACCTCCTTTGTCACATAGTGGACTATCAACGAAGCCACTAACGTCGTTGTAACCTTTGGAAGCAGTGGTTCTTCTCTATCCTCTCTCTCTCTTTCACTCTCTCTCCTCACCTCCATGACCTTCTCTCCAAGTCTCCACTGTTCATAGTTCCCCTTGTTTCCTCCTCTTCCACCAAAAGAGAGAGGCATTTGAATGAAGGTTTATGATTTGCAAAGTCCGATGAGTTGTCAGATGAGACGAGCTTATTCTAGAAAAAGGGTCTCTACAAAGTCTGATGAGGCGGTGACTGCTTTCATCCTCGATCTCTGTTAAGTTGTCGGTGGTGAAATTGCAATATGGGTTTTTGGCTTTGCTTCAACATGAATGAGAAGGAATCCATAAATAAATAAGGAGATCGAGGCACATATATCAAATACCTTACACAAGCTATGAATTGAATAACAGATATGGGTTTCAGATTTAATAATATTCTTCAGAATCCACTTGACTATAGTGCCACAGTCCACTGGACGATGATCTTCCTTGGTACAATTCCAACAGAAGCCATATGAACATTTGCACATAACATCATGACTCTCACTACCAACAACATAATCACAGCCTGGTGTAGGACACCATTTGGTCTTCCTATTGTCTTCAATATAAGACCTAAGTAGGTAACGGGAATATTTCTCCTTTATTTTCATAGATGCCAAAATGCCAAAATGTTGATCATATCTTAACCAATAGTAGCACCGCAAGATGGATCAGGACATTACAACATCAAAGATTCATCATTTATTGAGGTGCTAATATAACCTATCCAAAATCGGATAAATTTGGAGTTTTGTTGTTGCTGATGCGATGCACAAAATTAGATGAATTTGGAGTTGAAAAACACATAGAAGCAACCCAACAATTTCCCAATACGATCAAATGGATTCCAATCAGTGAAATGGGGAGAGGTTTTGGCTTCCACAGTTTGGTTCCCACGGATACCAATCAGTGAAACGAGATGAACATCTGAATCACCTTTAACCATTTATGGGAGGTGTGTGACGGGTCTCTTCTCGTTGTAATCACCATGGACTTTGACAGGTGGCTGGCCAAGCCTCTGAAGGTCCAGAGAGGACAACGGGGAAGAGGGGGAAAGAAATGAGAGGCGGGAGAAGAGGGCCAACTCCCCTAAGAAACCCTAGGGTTAGGGTTATATGGTTGTGTCTCCCGTGGGGGAGAGTTGCTTTCCTTTTATACACGGAATCTTGAGACTACCGGGAGAAGATCTCAAAAGAGACTTTTCCCTATTATGAATGGGGATCTTTATCCTCACGTCAGCTATCAAGCGAGTTTCACTATGGTTTCGCCACGTGTCTAGCAAGACTCCTTAGGGATAGAGTTTCCTTTCCCTAAGGATTCTTAAATAACACGTGTCAACACCCCTTCATCGGTTATTTTGTAGCCACATTTCGGGACTTTTGATTGGATGATGTGTTCAAATGTCTCTGTAAGACATCTTTGAAGCGTTTGTCACGGCTTGCCACGACTATGCAAATTGCCTACGAACATATATTGTTGGCTTTGGATTTGTTTATGGCTTCCATTGTAGTTCCGGTGATGACAATCAAATGGATACCAATTAGTGAAATGGGGGGAGGCTTTGGTTTCCACATTTTGGTTCCATGAATACCAATCAATGAAATGCGATGATCCAACATCTGAACCGCCTTTAACCATTTATGAGAGGTTGCGCTGGCTCTCTTCTTGTTATAGCTCTATCTCGCCCTCTATGACTTTGCTTTATATAGGTATAAGTTGTCCAGAGATTCCAACTATTTGCACTGTAAAAAGCTTTCCAACTTTCGCAGGAGAAACCAACCTAAATTGGAATATAGTGTCTCATTTCCCCCCTTTTTTGTTTGCCTACTTTTTCGTTGTAGTGAGATTAGATTAACTCAGGTCACCTCTCCCAAGTCACTCTGCCTCTGAATCCATTCAGATTCATGGATGTGATTATGTTCTCTACTCGATGAACGTAGTCTACGATAGCTACAACTGCAATTCCATCAGTTGATTTTGTCGAACCACAGAGGTTTGAATTGAGAGACATTAATACTTCATTTTGAAAATTTGAAGGAGAATAATGGGTAAAATAGTATTTTTCATCTTTCCATTAATAGAGGTTAATGACAAGGAGGTTTTAAACAATTGCCATAAAACTTAGGGATACTCTAAGTGCAAACAATAAGGGTAGAGTTAGTCAATTAGCTAAACCATAAAGGAAGTTTAAGAAATTTGCCCATAAAAAATATGTTATTGAAAAAAAGTTCAAAAACATTTGTTTTGTTTTTTTGTTAATGTAGTAATTTCAAAAACAAATGAAAACAAAGGCATTCATTGTATGATAAAATTGTTATTTGTCCATTGTATGATAAAATAATAATATAACACTAAGAAAGAACATTGATTTTAGAAAAAAAAACAACTACTACAAACAATTATGTTATCCATAAAATAATTATGTAATTATAGTTCATTATAGTGAATATATATTACAAAAATTATCACCATACCTAGTCCGCTATCTATATGATTCTTTAATAAAAGTTTACCAGTCTAAGGCCATGTTTGGGAGTGCTTAAAAATAAGTGCTTATTTGGGTTGAAACCACACCATTAATCACTTATTAGTGTTTGGAGAATAAGCCTGAATTAAGTGCTTATTTAACAAATAAGGGCTTATATTTTAAGATCAAATTTCCAGCTTTTTTTAAGTGCTTAAACAATAAGCACTTATTCGATTTTTTTCAACCAAAACTATCTCCACTTAGTTTTATAATTCCATTTATGCCCTTCAAATGTAAAAACATATGGCTTCTTCTCTAGAGTGTTTCTTCTTCATTTCCCTTTGCAACCAATGGTAGCTTCTCCACTACAATTGAGATTGAGCTTCTGAAATCAAGGTAAAATCCTAAGTTCTCTGTGCTAACTACTTCCAAATGCAAAAACTCTACGAATTAGAGACAAATTAGTTGCATAAACAAGAGGTCTTCTTTTGTGATTGTAGATCGAGACAATGGTGCAAGGAAAGAGAGTGATGGGGACCGTGAAGTGGTTCATTGGGCATAAGGGTTTTGCATTCATTACTCCAAAAGAGGGAGAAGATGTCTTTGTTCACCAATTGTTGATCCGATGTAACGGTTACTAGACCCTCTTGGAGGGTGAGTAGGTTGAGATTGTGATTGAACAGGGTGAGGATGGACGGTTAAAGGTGGTTGAAGTGTCAACACTGGGTGGAGGAAACGTTTTGGGAAGTGGTAGTGGAAGAGGGTTTTTTGGTGGAAGGGGAAGAGGTGGCGGTTATGGTAGTTTTGATGGTGGTGGGCATGGAAGAGGGGGAAGGAGTGGTGGTAGAGGAGGTGGGAGTGGAGGGTGATGGTAGTGCTTATTATAATTGTGGTCAAGCTAGTCATCTTTCCAGGAATTGTAATCAGGGAAGTGGTAGTGGGAGCTACGGTAGGGGTGGTTTTGCTGCTTGTTATAACTGTAGGCAAACTGGTCATCTTGCCAAGGATTATAATCATGTTAATGGTGGTGGTGGTGGAGGCTATGGTGGGGGTGGTGCTGATGCTTGTTTTAACTTTGGTCAAACTGGACATCTTATTAGGGATTATGATCGAGGAAATGGTGGTGGCAATTGTTGAAAAATGGGGTCACTAAAAATTTGGCGGAGAAGCTCAGAGGCACGTCTAAAGACATTGTCTTTAGAACGTTATTTGCCCCAACTCAGTTTCACTGAGTTTGTTGTTGGGTTACAAGCAAATCTATTACTAGGATACAATAGAGCCTTGGGCGAGAATCTGCAACCAACAAAGTTGAAGAGTCCTCGAAGAAACCTTATGTGAGACTATAGCAAATTGGACTGAGAGAGAGAGAGAGAGTGAATTTTGAAAATGTGTGTTTGAAAAGTCTGATTCATGCTCCTTAAATAGTTTATGAAGATGTATGAAGAAAAGGTAGGTGCTGGTTCAGAGAAGGCACCTTGAACACACGATCGAATCGTGATTGTTGATCTCATCAACGATGATCAACAGTCAGCATTGCACCAAAACCAAATCCGCCCTTCGCGAGCCATGCAGGTGCGAGCAAAGTGCGCCTCTAAAGCACCTCATTGCGCCGCACATGCGTGCGCGCGTGTTGCATGGTATCAAACCGCCATACTCTCCTCTACTAATTCTAAGAAGTGCAAATCAACTCTTATTAAAATACTGAAAACAAAGCTTATAATTTTTCAATGTGGGATAAGTTCAAAATTAGGTTTTATAAGAGAAAAACTAATTTTTCAAACAAGTGTACATGTGCGACTTCTCATATAATTGACCAATCAAACCCATTAGATTTAATCTCTTATGAGATTAAAATCCAACAACAACAGCAGTTTGAGGTCAGGCAATGGTGAAGGTTATTTTGGTGGGGGTGGTGGGAGTTGCTTCAACTGTGGGGAGCAAGGACATTTTGCAAGACAGTGCCCCAACAACAATAAAATAATGACCATCTACTTTGTTTTGCATTTTTTCTAGGTTCATGAGAACTGATGGATTTGGGGTAAATGCAAAAAGAGGGATATTGTCATGCCATGAAGTTCTGTCAAAATTTATTTCTTTTTGGATGATTCTCTTTCCTGTTTTTTGGTAAAGTCTTAGATTTGATATGCAAAACGAGGGATATTTTCAAATCTTTTTTTTGCCGATAATTGATATTAATTAATGAATGGTAATTATTAATTAGAGAACATCCCATTGAGCACATACACAAATTGGGGAGTCCGCGTTGGACCCGTGGGTGCATTGAACGAGTGCACCCTACAATGGGATTCAACCACGTCAGTTGGGTGAAAAAAATCTAAAATTAACGTTTCACATGACCGTTAACTCAAGTGACCAGTTGAACGGGACACAAAATGAACTAAAAAAATATCTCAGTTCTAAGTTCTAACCCTCCCTCCCATTTTCTGTTTCCTCTCCATCGAACCCTACCCCACACACCAGCGAGCTCAATCCACACTCGTGTCCGTCCACTTCGAAGCCACCGGCGGCGAGTGTCCGAATCTTCACTCAACTTCCAGGAAGTCGCCCAACAAAGAAGGTCGCATCGAGACGCCCAATTTGATATCCTACTCAAATTCAAAGCCACTCTTCATTTTTCTGATACACATGCCTTCCATTCCTGGACAGCGGGAAATGCACCCTGCAACTTCACCGGAGTTATGCGGTTCTGATGGATCCATGACGGGAATCAATTTTCCCAATCAGCGTTTGGTCGGAGTCCTTCCACTCGATTCCATCGGTCAGCTTTCACCCATACGGGCGCTCTAGCATGGAAAGAATTTCCTCCACGGACCCATTACACAGGATTTGAACAATTGCACTAGACTGAAACATTTAGATCTCGGTTTCAATTTCTCCGGAAGGGTGCCCGATCTCTTCTCTCAGCAAATTAGAACTCCTCAGTCTAAATGCCAGTGGATTTTCGGGTCCTTTTCCATGTAAATCACTAGAAAACCTGACCAATCTCGCCTTCTTGAGTCTCGGAGACAATCAATTCGATGCGAGTCCTTTCCCATTGGAGGTTCTGAAGCTCCGGAAGCTGCACTGGCTCTATCTCTCGAATTGCAGTCTCCAAGGACAAATTCCAACAGGTATCGGGAATCTCGTACTGCTCACAAACCTAGAACTCTCCAGCAATGATGTAATCGGTAATATTCCCGCCGATATCGTGAATCTTAAAAATCTCACGCAGCTTGAGTTATATGCCAATGGATTAACCAGAAACATTCCAGTCGGGTTAACGGGATGCATACCGCAATCTCTTGCGCTGGAAGGTTATAACGGCAGCTCCGCTGGTAGCCCCGGACTCTGTGGTCCGGACAATGGCTGCTTTGGTCCCTGTCCGTGAGACTCTGGCAATTCAGTGGGGCTCCTTACACTTGTATTTTGCTTCACAGCAGGAATTGCTGTGTTGATAGCGTTGTTTCGGTGCTTCATTTTCATAAAGAGCAAGAAACGAAATGATGAACTGGACCTGCGTTGTCAAAAGACTCTTGAATGAACTGGACCAGCTGCTCCCAGCTGGAGGTGATATGGCTTCCGGTAGATGACGGACTTAGTTGATCTGCAAAAAATGAATCAAAGAATTCGGGGTTGTTTATCCGACGAGGTCGCTCTGATGCTTAAGTTAGTACTTGGTTGCGAGCTGATAATAACTTAGAATGCAAGAGGGCTAGAGAGCAGAGATTACGCGTATCTTTCGCCCCCGGGGGGTGAAGCCTTTATATAGTGGAGCCTTCGCAGGTTTTGCGAAACAGTTTGGGATCCTCATTACGATGATGTCCATTTCCGCGTTAATTGGGGATAACGCTGCCAACTGATGAGATTCATCACTTCCACCCGAATCGGACGGGGGAGATAATGCTAGCTATTATGAGGCGTAATCCCGTAAGGCATGGAATCTGGTGGCGAGATCTTCGGGGTTGCCATGTAGTGGTCGATCAATATTACCCGAGCTAGTGCCCTTTGGATCCGACCTGGTACGAATGCCGAAGTGCCTTGGGACCGAGGTGGTCCTGATATGATCGTGCCCCGAGGTGAACTTGTCCCGAGGTGGACTTGCCCCAAGGTGGTTTGGTTATCCGAGCTCGATCTGTTGTAGACTTGGTGTGTCGGACTGAGCTGTCATCCTGCTAATTAGGTCGTGTCCACGTGTCCCCCTATGACTAGGTCGGGCCAAATCACTCTACATCAATTGCCCCCCACTCCCCGAGCCAAGGGTCCTAACCCGGTGTGGGGAGTTCATGACGAGCCAAGTGGATTTGGTTCGAGGTTCGGACAGCTAGCCAGATGAATCACAGATCGGACTTGTTCAGCTACCCGGTTCAACCAGGAAAACCCAGGTCGCATCTGGCCTACGCGCGAACGTCACATGATCTATAAACTCCGCGGATGTCAAAAAATGCACTAAATCGATTTTATCCTCAGGGGTCGTGCAACCGGTTTTCTTAGGAGCCGTTGGATTGCTTTAATCTCGACCGTTAGTTCTTGGACATAGCGGCTATAAATAGGGGGTCCGTGACTCATTTTTCTCGCCACAAATTCTGTGATTGAGCTCTCTCGAGGTCGCATCGGAGTCTTTCAGCTAGCTCTCTCTTTGTGTTCCGAGGTCGTCATTCTTTTTGATGAGTTTGTGTTTTCCTTTGTTTGTTTCTCCTTTGTTTTTTAATCATGTCTAGCTCTAGCGTAGACAGGTTTTTAGGTAGTTCTAGTGAGGTTGAGGGTGTCGTGGTGCATTCCGCGACCCCTGCTGGGGAGGTCAGCTCGCCGCTGGGTGACTCCCCTCTTCAGTCTTTAGAGGAAACTTCCATTCCCGAAGTTGAGCCATCTCGGCTCGGGGAGACCGAGGTTCGGAAAGAGGGTTTGTCCTCTAGAACGGAGGCCTCGTCTTCTTCCCGGGGTCATGATCCAGATGCCTTCGGTTCTTCTACTTTGACATCGGATAGGCTAATGTACCTAGTAGCTCACTATCGTCTTCTCGATAGCTTAGTCTTTAGTCTTCCTCTAGGTCAATATCCTTAGGCTCATGATCACCATGAGCTCACGGTCTTTGAGGAGCAGCTCGCAGCCGGGCTGCGCTTCCCGCTTCACCCTTTCATCATAGAGGTAGTCAAGTTTTTTAACATCACCATCGACCAACTACACCCGAACTCTATCTGGAATATAGTTGGTACTATCTCCTTGTTCCACACATATAATCGGCCTCTGTCCCTAGATACCTTCAGCTCGATCTGTGCGATCAAGCAAAATTCTGCTTGTCTGTGCGGGGACGTCAAACAAATCTATTACATCTCACCTCGGCCTAGGTTCAAAATCCTGTTCGCTTGCCCGAACAAGGTTCCAGCTTGGAAGAGGAGGTACTTCATTGTCCGAAATCCTGAAGGGTGGTCTTTTCCAACTCACTGGAGGGTGGCTATCAAGGCTCACGGGGTGAGCTTAGATGCAGAAACTAGGGCAGTTATCAACTCGGGGAGGGACCTCAGTCTCGAGATGAAAGATTTCTTGGCCGAGGATAAGCTTGTGCGAGCTGGTCTGAGCCCTCCTGGTAGGTTTCCACCTTGGTTTTTTACTTTAAAATTCTCTTTAATTCGCGGCTAACCTTTTACTCTTGTAGCTACCATGCCAGAGGTCAATGCCAAGGACCTTCTCAAGAGCGTTCAGAGAGGGAAGAAGTGGAAGGCTTCGAAGAAGTCTTGCCAGGAGGCCAGTCTTTCAGCCCCTGTCCCATCCGAAGTCCTTGTCGTGGAGCCGATCTCTGCCGAGCTCCCCGAGGAGGAAGTCTGTCCTCAACCCCTCGTAGTGGACCTGGATGACGACCAGGAGGAGGATGCTCAGCCTCATGAACCGGGGAGCACTTCTATACCCGAGTAGGAAAGCATCCAACCTCACAGGCCGGAGAGCGCTTCTGCACCGAGGCCCAAGTCCTCCAAGGTGAGCATAGTGACTCTTCGGCTCGGAATGTGCAAGATCAGGGATGCCGTCTTTCCTGACGAGGTCACGGAGTGGGCTAACATGTCTACAGCCATGCTCGAAAGCCGAGCTGGCGGTTATTGCATGGTGGTAAGTATCTTACTTTACATTTTATTTCTTTGTCAATTTCAAATGTACTTACCTCGGTTTTATTTGCTAGGTGAACTCCGCCATTCATTCATTAATGTGACAGTTCAAGATCCGTCTGAAGCAAGCTTGGGATGCCGAGGAAAAGGCACGACAGCTTCATCACGAACCGGACATAGCTCGGGGTGAGATACTTCGGGCCAAGAATGGAGCTCAAAGCCAGCAGGAGCTGATCTTGGTCATGACTGAGGAGAAGGAAAAGCAACAGGGACTAATCTCCGCACTAACAGAGGAAAAAATGAAGCAACAGGAGCAAATCTCAACGTTGACCGAGGTGAAGGCAAAGCTTCAACGAGAGATCGATAATCTCAAAGCGACAATCCAGGAGCGGACTAAGATCTTCGAGACAGCAATCCAAGAGGCGCGAGCTGAAGGGAGAAGCCACGCCATCGAAAGCTTCAAGGAATCCTCGGAGTTCCACGATCTCTAGGTCGATAATGGATCGAGCTCTTATCGTTTCGGTTTCATGCTGTGCAGGTACTTGGTGCGACAGAAGTTCCCCGATCTTGATCTTGGAGTCGTCTCTATGTTGTGCCTTACCCCCGAGGTGGTAGAGGCGGCGAACGAAGAGCCCAGCTCATCAGAGGAGGAAAGCGACGATGAAGTCGAAGAGGCGGGCCCCTTGGGTCAAGAGGACGTGAAAGAGCACATGGAGACCGACCCGGCTGACAGTCCTCATGAGTGAATCTGGCTTTTTTTTTTCTGTTTTTTGGATGTACGCCCCGAGGCCACCGAGCTCGGGTTATAATGAAATCTTTGTACCTACACTGTATTACTGAAATACAAACTTTTCTGAGCAATCCTTGTGCAAAAAATATTCTAAGTGTAAATGACTCCCGATCTGGACAACAAGTAAGGATAACCAAAGTAAAAATTTTTCTAAGTGTTTGTTACCCTGAACTGTCTACTTGGACTATTAGTAGGGGCAACTTTACGTAATGAACGCCATGGCGAGCAACATTGCACGGTATATACCCGACCTGTCCACGCACAGATTACTCATTTAAATCTCGGTTGTCCCTAACGAGCCCAACTTGTTGATATATGCCAAAGTGGGCTACACATCGTAGGGCTCACACCCGAGCTGTCATCTTTAGGCATTAGAAGTAATTTGTCTATGTCGAAGAGGTGACTATGACTTATATGCCCATGCCGAGGAGGCGATTGGGACTTGATCCCGCATGCCGAAGAGGCGACTAGGACTAGTTCGCCCAAGCCGAAGAGGTGACTAGGACTTATATGATGCCGATGTCTTTTATCAGCTCGACACTTTTAGTCCTTGGTCTTTTGAGAGTGACTCGCAGTCTGCTCTCCAATTCAACGATCACAGGTAGTATCGCCTTAAATTGCTGATGTTCCACGCTCGAGGTACTTGTTTTCCTTCTAAGATTTCGAGCTCGTACGTACCTTCCTCGAGTACCCGCTTTACTCGGTAGGGACCTTCCCAATTCGGTCCGAGCTTACCGACACCGGACTCAGGCACCATAACTTTCCGAAGGACCAGGTCTCCGACACAGAAGTGCCGCTTCTTGACCCGAGCATTATAGTACCTAGCCACTCTTTGCTAGTAGGCTGCGGTCTGGATATATGCGAGGTCCCGTACTTCTTCCACCAGGTCGAGGTTGGTACGGAGCTCGTCATCGTTTGCCTCTTGGTCATATACCTCCAGGCGTAATGTAGGCACCTCGATCTCGGTTGCGATTACCGCTTCCGTGCCATAGGTGAGGTTGAAGGGGGTTTCACCCATGACGGTCTTCACAGTAGTTCGGTAGGCCCATAAAACACTAGTTAGCTCGTCTACCCAAAGTTCTTTAGCTCGGGCTAAGCGGGCTTTTATTCCATAGAGTATAGCTCTATTCGTGACTTCTGCCTGCCCGTTTTCTTGAGGGTATGCCACTGAGGTGAAATTTTGCTGTATCCCCATCTCAGCACACCAGTTCTAAAACTTGATATCTTCGAACTGCTTACCGTTGTCAGAGATAAGCACCCGAGGTAGCACGAAGCGGCATACTATATTCCTCCAGAAGAAGTTTTGTATGCTTCGGGCTATCATTGTTGCTAGGGGTTCCGCCTCCACCCACTTTGTGAGGTAATCCACTACTACCACCAAGAATCTCCTCTGTCCTGTCGCTGGCGGAAATGGTCCAATAATGTAGATTCCCCACTGTGCGAAGGGCCATGGGCTGGTGAGGTACTTCAGGTTGGGGGTGGATGTTGGCGGGCCTTTGGCAT